TCTGAGCTATCAATTTCCCATCCCAATGATTGCAGAGATCTGCCCTTATCTCTTTCCACTTCACTCAGTCGGGTATCCATATCTCCAATCTTCTTATCTCTTTGTACATCTTGTTCTTCAATTTTCTTAATTCTGTCCTCGTATTACATCATCATCTGTTAAATATTTTCTATTTTCTCATCTGTCTTTTCCATTCTTTGCTCAATATTCTCCGTTCTCTTTTCAATATTATCTGTCTTTACTTGTATCTTTTGAATTCCTTGCATAATCATCTACAGTGTCACTTCTTTCTCCTTCTCTTGTTGTAACATCACCTGTGTTGATCGTTGTCCTCCAGATGGTGAGGAAGAAGTCAGGATTGAAGAAACTGGGGCTGGTATCTTTCTGCTCATCTTATAGTACTTAATAGAAAAATTGAAAAGAAAAAGCAAGAGCAGCCAACTGCCACTCCAGTTAAATAAATAAATAAATAAAAGCAAAAGATAAAAATAAAAAAGGGAAGGGAAAAAATCTTCAGGGACTTGAATACCTTAATCCAATTGATTCCAATTATGTAGGAAAAAAGGAAAAGAAGAAAAAATATAAAATGGAAAAAGGATGAAAAAATAAAAAAAATAGGAAAAAAATTAAAAAGACAGAAATCTGTATATTCCCCTTGCTAAAAAGGTAAAACAAAGGGGGGAGGGAGGGGGGAAAAAGTAGTCTTATTCTTGCATCAAAGGACTCAAGTCCAAATATAAAAATCCAACTGGGGCGGGAATAGAAAAAAAAAAGGAAAGAGAAAATGCAATTCTGTCAATAAGCAAAGCACTGCCACTATATGTTTGAGGCTAAATCAAAAAACAAAATTACCAGTTCTCTTTTCAAAGTCACCTCTATCTTCTTTCTTCAATTTCAAATCCAGACTCCAGCTATCAGTAGTTCCACAGAAGAGCACCTGAAAACAATCTACATGCTCTTTTCATGAAAAGCACAGAGTCCTTGAATGGAACAGCAAATGTATCAACAAGAAAGAAAGGAAAACAATGTAGCCAGGCCTCCAGGTGGCAGCGCTACTTATTTCCCTTTCATTTCCCTTCCCCTCTAATATTAAAACCAAGAATAGAAAAAATAAAAAGAATCTAAAATTATTAAAAAGAAAAACAAGAGAAAAAAAAACTTTTCCAAAGAGTTATTTTGAAAAGAAAAAATTAAAATTAAAAAGGAAAGACCAGTCCAGTTTAAAAATTGAAAAGATTTTACAAAATCCAAAGTTCCAATAAAAAGAAAGAAAAAACCTTCAGGTTTAATTTGTGCTTAATCTCGTTGCTTAAGCACTTTTATCTTCACTTTTAAATTTATTTTTTAGTCTTTTAGGGTGTTCTCTCCAGAAAAAAATAAGTAGAAAATTATCTCACCAAACTGACACACTTTCTTTCCAGCTTTCTTCCGTTCCGGAGCTGTCCCAACTTCAGCAGCTTTAATGGCTGCTTCTCCACCACAGGAAAAAAGGGCTTTCTCCTGGATTTACCGGGGATTTTGTGATGTCCCTGGGATCAACAGGATGTGCCCTCCTCAGTCACCGTCTCTACGGGACGGTTTAGGGACCGTCCTGCAATGGAGATATCAGCAGCGATCTTAGAGCTTAAAGATCTCATGCTGTACCGCCACAACGCCCAATGCAAACTATTTTCAATTCTCAGTAACAAAAGAGTAAGCAAATAGATCTTCAGTATTACAGTCCCTTTTGTGGTTTGATGAAAGTAATTCCTGTATATGTATCACACATATGGCCCTTGCTCAATGAAACACAGCAGCCCTCATTGGTACTTCATCTATTAGCAGAGAGTCACTGTAGTGTTTCCCAGAAGCATTTTAAACGGTGTTTCATGTGCAGCTTCACATAAGTAAACATAAGTAAACTCCAAGAATTCATATAGCCTGAATATCCAATAGCTCAAAAACATATGCTTAAAACATGTCAAGCTTCATATGAATAATGTCCCTGCTTGTTTGATCATATTGCAACAGCTGTATAACCATTGTTTGCTCTTTAAGATGAAATTCTAACATCAGTTTGAGTTTCAATATAACCTTTTGGATAGCTACTAATTAAGCCCATAATCAGAGTGCCTTGGTGAAATATATGCCACTTCAATGTCAAATAACAAAAACCCTTTATTTAAAACAATCCTTGGTCTGATTAAGTTACATTATTCTGGTAAGTTAAATGTACCTAACAAAATCTGCAGCAAGCAGGTTCAAAAATTGAACTAGAAAGCAAACACACAGAAAGACTCAGATGTAAGGATTGTTACAGGTAAGATTTTCATGCTCTGATGCTGTCAGGGACAGAAATGATCTTTATTAAAATGGAGAAGTCAAACAGTGTTTGTTATATGTATATGCTATATGTATTACACCAAGTTAAATTTCAGCTCAGCAGGAATTTCATAATACATCATTCATCTATGTCCCTTTGCCCTAACTCATTAACAGTACATATTTGTTTAAAATTTAAAATTAGGAGGAAAAAAAGATTATGATGATTTTGGAAAAATTAAATCTTTGCTAGATTGAATTTGTTGTGTTGCATAGAGCATGTAAGAGTATGACTGTGGCAGCTGTTGCCACCACTGACAGAGCTTAAAGCCTACTAGGCTTTAGAAATTAAGAAAAAGAAAAAAATTCATAACTTTCTCCAAGATTTCCTCAAACTATAAACAATCCAGTTTCCTTCTCAGTGCCTGGATATCCCCATTTCCCACTACTGACCTTAATCATGATTAAGAATTATACTTCATGTGGATATAATTTCACTTTGCTCTTAAAAATGTATACGTTAAACCCACATTAATTGTAGTCAAACATAAGTCACAGTAATATCATAAGTAATCTTTAAGGATATCTTAGGGAAACAGAAGATTTTTCAGTTGATTTCAAAGAAAATAATAAAAGAAAAGCCATAAAAATATTGTGATTATTTAAACTGGAAATGGATTTTTTTTCGGATTGAACTTTCACAGCTAACGTGTTATTTAGATCATAGGATTGTGTTTGTTTTTCTGAAATGTACTGTTGCTGACAAACAAAATAGAATTATTTCTACTCTGTAAATGTATTAATAGTACATTGTTTGCCAAATGCTATCTAGTAAGATTCATATTTTTCACTAAAGAGGAAAAGTACTGTATTGATAGATTTTTCCTTTATTTCTTCATTTTTTATTTGCAATTCATTGAAAATAACTACTTTGTAATTTTATGGTGATACAGCAATATTTGCATTGTAATATTTCATCTTGATTACCTTAGCTTCCCAGAAGTGGAACTTTGTAGATGCTGGATGCTTCCAAAATCATTCAAATTTGAATGATTTCAATTATTCAAATCATTCATATTGTTCATTTAAATGATAATTTAAGTTCCAAGATAGAACCGTTGCCTATTTATTGCAACATATTTTATTTTTTGAATGTTGGTGAATTAAAAACTATCAACCTGTCAAGACATTGTATTGTGTTGTAAAGTTGTGGTGTGCAATTGTTAGAATGCAGTATTGCAGGCTAATTCTGCTGATTGCCAGGAGTTTGATCCTGACCGATTCAAGGTTGACTCAGCTTTCCATCCACCAGAGATCGGTAAAATGAGTACCCAAATTTTGGGGGGCAATATGCTGACTTTGTAAACTGCTTAGAGAGAATTGTAAAGCACTAGGAAGCAGTATATCAGTCTAAGTGCTATTGCTATTCCATATAGAGTCCTTTGGAAAAAAAAATTCTAGAAATTTATCAGTCTTTTTGAGACAAGCCTTCCAGACAGGAAACATATCCATAAGCAAGTACTAACTGTAATTTTATTGTATGATTACATTACAAAATCTTGAAAATATGAAAATACATCTTGCCTTCCCAGTGCAAGAAACTAGGGTGGGCCATCTGAGACATTTGTCATATGACAATTCCTTCTGTGAACTTATCTATCACTTGGCTGACCATTTGTTTAATTATATCTCTTCTTCTTGTCTACCAATGTTATCCCAACATACCATTAGAAAATTTTGGTTAGTTCAAACTACAACTAACTAAAATGTTCATTGCTCCTGGCCCCATATAAACTTATTTGCCATATACACTGGCTTTAATACATTTCTAGATCCAATTCAAAATTCTGCATTGGACCTTTAGAGCCCAATTTTTTGTGTGTCTTATTGTAAACTATCAAGAGAACACGCTTACTGGGCACTTAAAACATTTAAATAAATATGATCATAATATAATTTTTCATTAAAATATTATAAAATAAATTATGAATATTCAAAGATACAAAAATTATTATAGTAGAACATTTCCTTATCAAATGAAATATCATTATGTTTAATATAAAGGAAATTATTAATATAGATTGCCATTCCTTATCTACTCTATTAATCTCTTAGCCCTTGTATTCCATTTCAGTCTTCAACCACGAAACAATAAAACTCACCAAAATGGCAAAACAAAACAATTTTTTTCCTTATCAACCAGCTAAAATAACACTGTATTTGTTTTCAGTGAACTTATTTTGAAGCTCTAGCTAATATGCCTTATCTCCCCTTTAACAGGTAAAATAATCATTTTCATTATAACTTAGAAGAACTAGCAAGGAATGCATAAAATGCATGAATAATTAGGACTTAAGTATTCTCTTTAAATGCAAATTGAGAAAAAAAATGAGTCACAATTTTCTTAGCCAAGTTGGTGATAGCCTCAGAGCTTCACTAATGTTTCTACCTAAATATATTGTAGTTGGAAACCATTTATGGTATGAAGAAGCAAGATCTTTCAAATTTCAGAAATGGACACACTTCTGCAACATAGGTATAAGATATCTCTTTTTGGTAACTTTAAAAGCACCATCAAGTGGTATTCCCAATCCAGAAATAGATCCAATTAAAATATCTTTTTTAATATCACACTGGAAAGATCTGTGAAAACAAATGAATTTAAAGCTTAGTCTCTTCTGGAAATCTTTCACAATTACCTTTCTACCACATCTTGGCCATTCCAACAAGTTGAGCTGTCTTTCATCACGAGATCACCATCACAAAGTCTTTCTGTCAAAGACGCATAAAAAGTTCTGGATCGTTTCATATAACTGATAAATTCCCTAGAAATTAAATACAGAACATTTAAAAAAAACCATTAACTATACATTTATTTCTTCCTTATCTTAATAATGTAATAATTGAGATTCAAAGTTCCCTCAAGTTTATTTAAAAAGTGGATGAAGAGATGGCTGTTTCATACCTCATTAAATTCTAATTCATCTCTTGAACTAGACAAATTAAATCATATTTAAGATGTCAATTGGTCAAATTCATGAGACAAAGGAATGTTGAATAATATATTATTTCTGCCTCCCTTTTTATGTAGATATCTGAGCATGATAGAGAACAAAGTAAAGAAGATCCAATTGGTAGCAAAAGCTAATTTGTAACTAAGTAAAGATAGTATTTACATGAAATGTCATCAACTATTCAAACATCTTAGCATTTCATTTAAATTTTTCATTTTTAAAATAAGAAATTTATTTGACAGTGTAAGTAGATGTCCATCTTGATGTACAGTACTTCTAAATAAACCTGTTTCCTATTCATATCTATGCCACCCTATTGATATGTTGATGTTTTAAAAATTGCAGAGAGGAAATTTGGTCCCAAATAATTTCTAAACCACAAATCAAACTCTAAAATGTGTATCCACCTGTTGGATTTGTTTTTAACAGTAACTTTAAATTTAGATTTTAGGTGTCATAGTTTAATAAATTTTGGAGAGCCAAACTTTGTCACACCTGGTAAACAAATATTAAAAGTATGTTATGGTAATTTAAATTAACCTTTCTCTTCTTTGAATGAATGAAGACCCTTCATTAAAATGAAGAGACAAAGGTATGTTGACTTCTTTGCATTCTTACCGAGACATTTTTTTCAAACTTCTGGATTTGTCATTCTTTGAAGATTTCAGAGGCAGAGAACTGGAGTAGGCCAAGGAGAATAGCCAAGGGGAAAAGAGGGAATTCAGGTAAATGAAGAAAGAAATGAGAAACAAAAGTAATAAATTATTTGAAAGAAAAGATAAACATGCACAGGATTAAATCAGAAAAAAATAACTCCTATTTAAATATTCTTCAACCTATACTAGTATAGTCCATCTACCAGTTTAATTGTTTTTACATTGTGCCCCTCTGTTGAGGATTTGGATAGTTTTCTAAATCATATGGAAATACATTTATTTCTTAAAAAACAAAAATAGATATGACTATAAAATAAAGCATTCAATAATGAAAATAAATCTTTTTATTTCTGACATATCCAAATGTCATGTTAGAAATATTATTGTTATATCTGAGAACTGCATAAAACATGAATTATGGATGAAAACAAGTACTGTTGTTGGGAAAACAATGATTTTCAGGGACACCAAAAATGTTGGTTTATAAGGAAATATAAAACTGATGCTTCCTGGGTATTGGGAAATGGATGCAGCTACATAGATAAACAAATAAATACAAGCCTGCTTGCTTATTTTAAACAAGAATGAAGTATCACAATGTATTCCCAAGAATTTTATGTCAGTGGTAGAACATATAGTTCATATGAAGACATCCTTAGGTTCAGTCCCTGGAGTCTATAAGTAATCCTGGGAAAGACTGTTTTGACAGTATATTTTGTTTTATATGTTGTGAGTTTTTTATAATGATGTATATTGCTGTATTAAACTTTCAAACTTCGTTTACTATCCAGAGTCTCTGTGGCAAGATATACTACCCCATAAATAATAAAATAAAAT